ATTGTTATTGCTCAGGTCAAGCCAATTGAGATGCTGCAACTCCAGCAGAGAAGGATTTAGTTTGCCTGCTAGAGCTGAATGACGGTAGGCTTCCCATTCAGCAAGTGATGCCCAATCATCAGGAGGTGAAAAAGGAGCAGGCAAGTGCAGTTGGAGGACGTGGCCTGTTGAGTTATGGCAGACGACACCATTCCAATGACAGCAATCCACACCTTCAACCCAGGAAGATAGGGTGTTTGAAGGATCAATCAGATCATTCTTCAACTTCAAAAGAGCTTCTCTCTCACTTTCAATGCAAAGCACATTGGAATTGCCATGGAAGAAGCTAACAGTGATAACCGCAATGAGAAGAAGAAATGGGAATAAGGAATTTGTAAGAATTGTCATGGTTGCCATTTCATTGTACCAATCTTAGCAACTCTGAATATATAGATATTAGAGAGAGAGCTAGAACAAAAAAAATTATACGGTGGAGAGCAGGCGGAAGGAACTTTCATCCAGTACCCTAAATTTCCACACCACAAAAAAAACAAACAAACAAAAACAAAGACTAATCTTAAAAGGAAAAAAATATATTAATAATTAAGCTATAAAATAACAAATCTAGTATGATCATCATTTAATACTTAATTTCTATATGATCATTAAGTAAAATTAAAATGTATACCATTTTTCTCGAGGAAAGGAAAATAATGATTAAGATGTAAAAAAGACACATTTTAAATTTTTAATATCAACTTCAATAACTAAATTAGCTGTTTCTTTTTGGTTTAAACATGTCCCTGGAACTTGAATTATTTTAATTAAAATTTAGTCCCCCACTTTAATTATTGAGTATCTATTTCTTCGAGGGAGAAAAAAAATGAGTATTTAGACTATTATAAGCTTAGATGACTAAAACAAGGTTGTTTTCCTTTTTTATAGTTTTGTTTAAAAAAACTATTACCAATAAAATAAACGTAAGTTAAGAAGAAGGATCAAGATTTTAGGGATAAAAAATGTGGTTCATCAAATCCATAAATGCTGCCAGGGCATTGGAGAGTTTGAACGGCATTACAAAGAACTCGTAATGGTCGTACCTCGTCCTTAACGTGGTCTTGGTGATGTCGACGTCCTTTACTTTCAACTGATAATACTCTGACATCAAGTTAATCTTGGAGAACACACATGCGCTCTTAAGTTGGTCGAACAAATTATCTATCTGAGGGAGAGGGTAGCGATTCTTAATGGTTAACTTGTTTAGTTGTCGATTGTCGATGCATAACCTTATCAACCCATCCTTCTTCTTGACAAAAAGGATCGGTGCTCCCCAAGGTGAAACTCTCGACCAGATAAAATCTTTATCGAGCAGTTCCTGAATCTGATTCTTTAACTCTTTTAACTCTGTCAGGGTCATTCGACAAGGTGCAATAGACACCGGGACTGAACCTGGCAAAACCTCTATGCTGAACTCTACCGTGACGGTCGGGTGGTAGCCCTGGAAACTCCTCTAGAAACACATCAGAGAACTCTCAAACAGTACGGATATCCTCAAGCGTCGGAACGGAGACTCGTGTCTCGACAACATGAGCCAAGAAGGCTTCACAACCTTGGTAGTATAACCCGAACTCCCACTAGTCATCACTACCTTGTGAAGCTTGAGTCGTCTCACTTTACACCTCAAACTTACGTCATGCTTGAAAAGTCAATCTATGCCTAATATCACATCGAACTTTCGAAACGATAGTTCAATCAAATCGGCTAAGAATATCTCACCCTGTAGTTCTACGTGGCAACGGCGGTGAACCTTGTCAACCAAAACGTCTAACCCTAGGGGACTAGACACTCTGAACCTTGTTTCTAAATTCTCAACTAGAACTTTCACTTGGTAGTATAACCCTAGGGAACTCTCACCCTGAAGCTCTACGGTGCAACGCGCAAGGACCTTTCACTTGAAAAGAAATTTCTAAATTACTGCACCAAAAAAAAACATTAAATTGATAGTCAAAAAGCATACGGTTTGCTAATTGTGAAAAAGATGAAATCATGAAAAGGAAAAAATCATATGTTAATAATTAAGTTATGAAATAACGAATTTAATCTGAATTTCAATTATTTAACTAAAGAAATCCTTTTGTTTTATTTTAGTTTATTTTCATTAATTATTAAAATATTTTTTAAAAAGTTATCACTAATTGAACAATACAATTTTTAATCTTCTACATTTATAGTTTTTTAGGAGGCAAATTGATCAATATTGTAAGCATAGAGGACTAAAACAAGGTTGTTTTCCTTTTTTATAGTTTTCAAATAAAAAAACTATTACCAATAAAATTAAACTTAAGTTAAGAAAAGGGATTGAGATTTTCAAATTGAAATTAGTACTTAAATTTATGAAAATTGAGGTTTGAGGACTTTTTCAATCCAAAAAAATGTTTATGAAATAAACATGACAAGGATATCAAATCAACAGGTCTGTGAAGTATGTGCCACTCCTACTATATGACCACCCAACAAAGAGAGAATAATTTTTTTTAAAGTTAATTGAACATATATTTTCATAAATTTTAACCATCGAAAAAATATATTCCTTTAAAATTAATAATCTTAATATTTAATATTTTAAATATGTTTAATAATTTGAAATTAAAATAAAAAATTTACAAAGAAAACAAATATTCAATAAAATCTATGGAGTCTCCCACACGAAAATAACACATCAAATTAGCTATTGTTTTCTAATTTTTTGTATGTAGTGTGGAATTTAATAACCTGCAGAAGCTTATGAAATAGACTTGACTTGGAGGTCAAGTCAACTAAGACTACGGAATAAATCCCACTCCTACGGCATGGCTATCCAATTAAGAGAGAAAAAAAATAAAATTACATAAAGTTTAAAATTTATTGAATATTTATTTCATTATTAAACAATTCAATATTAATATCTTAAGTATGTTTGATAATTTAAAGTTAAAATTATTTATTAAATATATATGCAATTGCAAACGGGTGGAATGATGTTGCAGTGGTGAGAAAAGCAATGAAGAACAAGGGAATGAGGAAAGAACCAGGGCTCAGCTGTATTGAAGTAAATGGATTATGTTCACGAGTTCATAATGGGAGATAGGACACACCCTGAAATCAAAAAGATAAATTTTCATAAAAAAAATTATTTTGATTCAAAATGAAACGTTAAAGGATAAAGTTCTTAAAAGGCATTAAGATCAATGTGACTATTCAATTAGATGTTGAGGATGAATATTATACTTGTTTTGTATGTTAACAATAAGATTTCTATATTTCGAGAGCTAAAAGGCATGTGTACTCTAAGGTGATTAGGTGGACGACTACTCTTCACTCCGAATCAAGCTTTCGTAATACTTGATGAATCTTATAAATGGCATTAAGTCTCAATGTTCGGCCTTAAGGACAATTATTGGCACGTGGTAATATTTATCCATTCTATTTTAGTGGCGAATTACTATCCGAATATCTATGAATGAACAACTTGATGCTTAGTGAGACTGGACAACCGTACTTAAATCTATATGGTGAAATAATACTCAATAAGACCGACCACTACCACTATTATTGATACTTGATTGCTTATGTGACACCAGATATCATTATTTTATATCACTTAATTGTTTAGTGAGATCAAGTTGTATTGTTTTTTTATGTGCTCTTGATTGAATATTTGACATTATCGATTATTATTTGATGTTAGGTGAAACCAGATAATTTATTGTTGTTGATGTAATTTCATGACTTCGGTCCTAAGAACAAGGACTAAACATGGGAGTATTACTGTTCCAAATGGTATTCTTCCTCAAAGAACAATGCATGCTCCGGTAATGGCTAATGTACTATATGGTAATAAAATTACACTAGACTTTTTAACACTTTCAACCTAGAAATTAGATTAATCCAAAAATATATTATTTCTACGTCATATTTAATATCTAAAATTTCAGTAATGGCTAATGTACTGAAACTGCCTCGTTTTGTCGATGGTGTAATTTTATCCTAAAATTAGAGCAAGAAATACATGAATGGTTATTTAAGTAAACAGTGCTAAGCTTACAGAATGTGTTAGTATTTGGACTAAAATCAAGTACTTCAATTTTTATCGTTAAACTTCTAAAGTTTGTTGGTTTAAATTTCTTGGTAAATTTATGCGGAAAAAAATCTTCATTTGTTTTGCATAAAATCATTTAAGTATATGAAGTATGTGCCACTCCTACTATATGACCACCCAACAAAGAGAGAATAATTTTTTTAAAAAGTTAATTGAACATATATTTTCATAAACTTTAACCATCGAAAAAATATATTCCTTTAAAATTAATAATCTTAATATTTTAAATATGTTTAATTATTTAAAATTAAAATATAAAATTAACAATATTGAGAATGCAGAAAACAAATGAACAACACTTGTATATTGAATACAAGAACTCTGCATTGAATACAAGATTGCTGCTGTTTATATACAGCTTCACTTGACTAATGTAACAACCTTAACTATTCAACTAACCATGCTAACAACCTTAACTGCTATAACAACTTCAAGAAGCTTCTCTTGACTAACAACATTGTTACTAACTCATTATGCTAACATTCCCTCTACTTCTTCTTCTTCTGTTCTTCTGACCTTGAATATACTATTACAGCAAGCTCTAAAAAAACTAATTACAACTAATTTCTAACATTCAACATATCGATGAAAAGATGAACAATTGAATCGAAAGTGCTGATGCTTCCTTCCGTTCACTTGAATCGAAAGTGCCGGTGCTTCCTTTCGTTCTTCTTGAATCGAAAGTGCTGATGCTTCCTTCCGTTCACTTGAATCGAAAGTGCCGATGCTTCCTTTCGTTCTTTTTATTCACCTTCATTTCTTTCTTCTTCATCCTCTTTTACAAGGATCCTTGACATATATTTTTTTTATGAACACTTGGTTGTGAAGCTCCCAAGTTCCAACAACCTTGAAGAAGAAGAAGCATATAACGAGGAATATAAATTGTCAACAATTGAGCTATCAATGCAATGTCATAGTATCCATTTCCTTTGTGCTCATTTTAACACGGAACATGGCTGATGCAGTCAAGTAACGACCATGTCGTGGATCAGCTGCACACATCATGTTCTTTGCATCCCACATCTGCTGAGTCAACTCCGGGACTGTGAGAGAAATGTAGTGCTGGGAACCACGGAATGTGAGGGGTGCAAACCCAACCATAAAGAAGTGAAGACGTGGGAATGGGATCAGGTTCACAGCCAACTTTCGGAGGTCGGAGTTCAGCTGTCCGGGGAACCTAAGGCAGCATGTTACACCACTCATAGTGGAGGAAATCAAGTGGTTCAGATCTCCAAAACTCGGATTAGTGAGCTTCAATGTCCGGAAGCAAATATCATAAAGTGCCTCATTGTCAAGAACCATGCATTCGTCAGCGTTCTCAACCAACTGGTGCACAGAAAGGGTGGCATTATACGGCTCCACAACAGTGTCCGAGACTTTAGGTGAAGGGAAAACAGAGAATGTCATCATCATCCTGTCTGGATATTCTTCTCTGATTTTTGAAATAAGGAGGGTTCCCATGCCAGAGCCAGTGCCTCCTCCAAGTGAATGACATACCTGGAAGCCTTGCAAGCAATCACAATTCTCAGCCTCTTTACGAACAACATCAAGAACAGCATCAATCAACTCAGCACCTTCAGTGTAATGACCTTTGGCCCAGTTGTTTCCGGCACCAGATTGTCCAAACACGAAATTATCAAGCCTAAAGATCTGGCCGTAAGGACCAGATCTAATACTATCCATAGTACCGGATTCGAGATCCATGAGAACCGCACGAGGGACGTACCTTCCACCGGAAGCCTCATTGTAATACACATTGATCCGCTCTAGTTGGTTTTCGGATGATTTGCCATCCATATTGAACCTCCCGCTAGGATCAATGCCGTGCTCATCGCAAATCAGTTCCCAAAACTTGGAACCGATTTGGTTCCCGCATTGGTCTCCTTGAACGTGATGGACCTCACGCATTTTGTTTTAGGGAAAAGGAGAAAACAGCATTAAAGACGACAGACGCAGCCATGATAGAGTCAACGAACTTCATGCAACGGAAGAAAACGAAATCAGGATCGTTTGGCGAATGATACCATATTGAGAATGCAGAAAACAAATGAACAACACTTGTATATTGAATACAAGAACTCTGCATTGAATACAAGATTGCTGCTGTTTATATACAGCTTCACTTGACTAATGTAACAACCTTAACTATTCAACTAACCATGCTAACAACCTTAACTGCTATAACAACTTCAAGAAGCTTCTCTTGACTAACAACATTGTTACTAACTCATTATGCTAACAAACAAAGAAATCAAATATTTAATAAAATCTATGGAGTAAATCTGACTCTCACGACCCCACGAAAATAACACATCTAATTTTTTGTATGTTGTGTGAGATTTAATAACCTGCAGAAGCTTATGAAATAGACTTCACAAGGTGGTCAAGTCAACCAAGTCTACGGAATAAATCCCACTCCAACGGCATGGCTATCCAACTAAGAGAGAAGAAATTAACACATCTAATTTTTTTGTATGTAGCGTGGAATAAAGTTAAAATTATTTATTATTTTTTTTAATGAGAAAAATATTAAACTCTAAATTGTTCATAAAATCATCTTTCAATAGAAAATAACTTGGGTATGTGTATTTAAAGTGTTTTGTTTAATCTTTTTGTGATATTTTGGGCGTGGAGACTCTTGTAAAGATTGAAGAAACTGGTTATCTTAGTTAGGCCGCTACTAATTTTGGGCCAATGGGTGAGCATGAAATCCAAGTCCAATAGCTTTCTTCAAAACAAAGACATTTTATTTGTGAAGATGACACACTGATTTACTTCAATGGTGCCAAGCTAAGCCGTTCAGCACAATTTAATCTCCCTATCACATCTTACACTAAAAACACCCAACCCCACATTGCACTTGACATCTATGCATATTTGAAAGATTGGACAATAAAGTTTATGGGTACGATATTAAAAACCGCACTTTTGGAAATGTATGCCAAGTGTGGAGACATTGATGGAGCTTGGAAATTGCTCAGGGAAGCTAAAGATCGAGTTGTTGGCATGTGGAGTACGATTATGGCAGGATTCGGAATGCATGGATGTGGTAAGGAGGCTTTGGAGCTACTCTCCGAGATGGAAAGAGTGGGTGTTAGGCCTAACGATATCACATTTGTTGCTCTTCTTCATGCTTGTAGCCATGCAGGGTTGGTGGAAGAAGGTATGTTGATGTTTGACAAAATGGTTCATGAATTTGAATTGGTTCCAAAGATTGAGCACTATTGTTGTATGGTGGATCTTCTTGGTCCAGCAGGACATCTAGATGAGGCCTATGAGATTATCAAAAGCACGCTTATAAGGGAAAACGCCATTATATGGAGTACTCTGCTTGCTGCATGCAAGCTTCCCCAGAATGCTATATTAGGGGAAATAGCTGCAAGGCAGCTTGTTCACCAGGAACCTCAACACTGCGGTTATAATGTTTCGATATCAAATATATATGCAATTGCAAACAGGTGGAATGATGTTGCTTTGGTGAGAAAAGCAATGAAGAACAAGGGAATGAGGAAAGAACCAGGGCTCAGCTGTATTGAAGTAAATGGATTATGTTCATGAGTTCATAATGGGAGATAGGACACACCCTGAAATCAAAAAGATAAATGTTATGGTATCTGACAAGCTAAAGGAGGCAGGGTACAGGGCAGACACTTCTGCAGTCCTGAAAAACATAGATGAGGAAGAGAAAGAAACCGCACTTAACTATCACAGTGAGAAACTGGAAATGGCTTTTGGCCTCATTAGCACAGCCCCAGGGACTCCAATTCGGATTGTGAAAAATCTCAGTTTGTAACTATTGTCACACTGCAACTAAGTTGATGTCTAAAATAAATCGGAGAGTAATAATAGTACGTGGTCGAAAGCGCTTTCACCACTTCAGAGAAGGAACCTGTTCCTGTGGAGATTACAGGCAGCACTACAGTTGAGCATGTATGTTTGAAGAACACAGTGAAGAGATGTGCAGTACAAAGTAAATGGAAGGGAAATTGCAATTCTGTATGTCTCTCTGTTTTTCACCTGTTATTAAAACTGCAGTCATTGGATCTGCACTTGATGCACAGTGCCCAGTAAAGATATTTTTGAAGAATTTAAACCAACTGAAGGAAACATGATGGAAAGTAACCAAGTCTCATGAATTCTTTCGATTAAAAATGTTCCAGATTTGAAGAGTATTACATTCAGATTAAGAGATGATCAATCAATGATTTCAAATTGCTTTCTTCATAAGAGTTAATATCATAATTCTTCTGCACAACAGGAAAGCAAAAGTGTTCATCCAAGCCATTGTTGACATCGACGGTCCTCACTAGCTCCAACTGAATGCCAAATGCTGATTTTCTAGGTAGAATACTTTTGCTGAAGCCATTCGAAATCGTTCACATCAAGTTTCCCAGAAACAGATTTCCCTTGCTTCCTACGGATTTGCTGCTCCCAAACAAAAGCCCATAGTTTTTCAATGGAATTCCGTTGTCGAGAAGTAAACCTTGCTACATTGTCAAATGCATGCTTTAACAATATGTCTATAACTGTCTGGCACCTATGAAGAATACAACATGCAATGCCAATGATGCAATTAGTCTCCTGAATAAAATCAACACAAGAAACTATCTAAAAGCAGAGTTTCCTGTCCTTGAAGTAACAGCAGCAAGCAATGAACACTTATGACTTACCATGGCGTCTTATTACGGCGAGCAGCAATCTCTAAACAAGAAATCAAGGCTTCTCTCTGACTTAAGAAATCTCTTCGTGTCTTCCTCATCGCCTATCCTGTTCTAGGTTATCACATCTTTCTTTCCTTTTGCTCTATCATCCTTTTTCCCAGATCTAGGAATTACAGCATCAAGTCCAAAAGGATCAGATTCATCCTTGTTATTTTCTTCAGCTGTAGCAACTATAGGTTGTTTTTCATCCTCATAATTGCCAGTTTCAGTCTCGTCCTTCAGGGTAGCTGCTTCATGTGTGTCATCCTCGTCAGTCGCAAATGGAAGACGGCATATTTCATCTTTTAATTTACTAGCTGTTTTTGAAAACTATAATGAAGTTCAGAAACAACATAAAAACACACCATCAATAACAAATTTTGTACTAGTTAGAAAAGGGAATCAGTTTTAAAGATGTTGACACAAAACATACTAAAAAGTAAAATGAATAACTCATGACTGACAGTGATGTGACAACACAACATGCTAAAAGTAAAAGTAAAGTACGTACCACAAAGTTGTCTTCGGTTAAAAAGTCATTTGCCATCACTGCCTTAAATGTCCAGAAAGTCAGTTGGTTCTTCTGGTTCTTGTTTAGGCACTTGAAGGTAAGAAAACTCTCAAGGGAGAAAGCCTTACACTTGCAAGACAAACCAAAGCCATACCTCAGCTGCATCTTGTGCTGCTGAGAAAGCGAATGATAATCGCCTCGCACAGAAAAATCAGTACTGTATAAACTGTATGGCAAGCTTTGAAGCCTTAGAAAACTTGGTGGGGTTCTTGATATGTGATGCAATCTTAAATCTCAAGCGCTTTTCTTGTACAGCAGCTGGGAAGTACAATGCATAACTAATCAGCCACTTGCAGATAGAGTTCAGCCAAAACATTAAGCTTCAAGGAAAACTTGCAGAGTAGAATAATAAAATAAGAGAATTTAAATAAACAGACAAACAATAATAGCATACAAGTACTTTCCCTTGATTCATTATGCCAAATCAAATCATTTCTACATCCAAGTTCCATATCATTAAAATATTATGACACAAAATCCTCAGTTTCTTCATCCCATGCACCACCATATGCATAAGACCACATATATCCATGCTGCCCTCTTATTATTAGTTTCCTTCTATAAATTGAAACCTATACAACTAGAATCTATATTCAAATCAATACGAGGACTAAAATTCTTCTTCCTTTCCATTTCACTTTTCCAAACACATAAACATAGGGAACTCAAAATTTAATCTCTGTTCGCTCCTAGTCCCTCACAAACCAAATGCTAGGGTATGTTCACAAGACCCAAAGACCATATAGAATTATATTTCCCAAAGCACTTTCTTCCAAACTGCAATACATATTAACCTCGTACACAATAACAAAAATACTTCCAAAATCCAAGCCCAATAATCTCTTAACCCTGAAATAAATGCACCCATTGAAGAAAAAATTGAACTGAATGATGCTGTAAAATCCCAAAATTATAATCTAAAATCACATTCTCAGCTTCCAAAAAGCAAAACCCATTTCAATTTCCACTCACACTAGAAAATAAGTTAGCGGCAGTCAGAGTTCAAAATCGCATAAAAGACATAAAATTATATGAACTCACAGACCAAAAGGGAAAAAGAGAATTCTTCAAATTATGGGTTGGGTTTACCTTCAGGGTTAGATTCAGTAGGCTTAGGTCTCTTGAGAGCACTTTTAAGAACCGGAGTTGGAGAAGCTTCCTTGTTATTGTTGCTGCTACTCGTCTTCAAAGAAAAAGAAATTTGATCATTGCTTTGATTCCCTTGGTGTTTTTCTCTGTCTTATAGTTGTTGGTGATGAGAAGGCGGTGGTAATCCTTCAAGTAGATTGTCAGCCATTTTCTTTTAACTAATCAGCAACCTTTTCTTCCTTTGAATTATTTCTGGGTATCGTTTTTAAAACTCAGAAACTTTCAAAAGTTTTCATTCGAATTATACTGAAATATGCAGGGGAAAGTTTTCCCTTTTCTACTTCCCCCTCAAATGAGTTTTTTTTTTTTAATAAAGTAAACTACATAAATGATCAATGGTTTTTTTTTTAAGTTAACCATTCGTTAATCAAATATTAAGTCAGCCAATCTGGAATTACAGAGGAAAAGGAAATAGACGTAATCGAGGAAGCTGCAACAACTGGCGTGCTTCAAGAAGGTAGAACCGAATGGTAGATCGGTCATTTACATGATTTTGAAGCTGCTGCACAACACTCATTGAGTCACTTTCAATCACTACCGAGGAAAGCCCTAAACCCACTGCCAATCTAATCCCCCGAGAAAGCACCATAGCTTCAACAACACCCGATCGAGTCTCCACAACTAGTAATGCTTCACCCGCCATGACTGATCCAGCACTGTCCCGGACTAGAACACCAATAGCTATCGATGCAGGTGAACGGAGACAAGTCCCATCGACATTTATTTTGAAAGTATCTACCAGGGGTTTGTACCACCTTTAACATGAGAGACCTGAATGCACCGGAGACAGTAATAAATTGCGCAACGTAGTGTAACATTTATTGTAAAGATTAAAAACAAATGTCTAATCTATGAAAAACAAGAAAGAAAGTAAATGAGAGAAATGAATCTTCTGAAATTCATTATATCATTCGTGTGTATTACAACTCTCAAGGGGAGTATTTATAGCTAATACTATAGCTATAACCGATGATGTAACTACCTCAACAAACTAACTACTTCAAATGATCAGCTGCAGTGAATCAATCCTCAGCTGCACAACCATCATGCAAAGTTCACGTGAACTTATATACCATGCATTTACATACACTAACATTCCCCTTGCAACCTTCAACTTCAAACCTTCTTCAAGCTCAAGAAGCACAAGCATGATCAATGCTCATTCAAACCCAAAATGAAATGAAAGTTCATTTACACTAACATTCCCCTTGCAACCTTCAACTTCAAACCTGCTTCAGACTCAATCTGATCTGCTCTTAAGTTGCACCACCAGCAACCTTTTGTCTGTGTTTGAGAAACCAAGGGGCTGATAAAGGCTTGGTCAGCACATCAGCAACCTGCTCAACTGCAGGAACTTCATGCACTTGTAGCTGTCCCATAGCCACCATTTCTCGAACAAAAAACAAGTCCAGCTCAACATGTTTGAACTTGGAATGCAGTACGGGATTAGCACATACAGCAACTGCACTTGTATTATCACACCACAATATGGCCTTGCCATGTGAAACTACATGCAATTCCCCTAACAAAGATTGAAGCCACACCATCTCAGCAGCTGCACAAGCCACACTCATGTATTCAGCCTCAACAGTTGAACGTGCAACAACCTGTTGCTTTCTAGAGCTCCACGAGACCAGGTTCCCACAAAAATATATACAGAACCCTGAGGTTGACCGTCTATCATCAACATCTGAACCCCAATTGGCATCTACAAACCCAGTCAGAGTCATTCTCGAGGAGGGGGTGTAAAACGCAGTCCAAAATCAATGGTGCCTTGTAGGTAGCGAAGTATTCGCTTGACTGCCAGAAAATGAACATCCAGTGGGGCTTGCATAAATTGACACACCCTGTTCACAGCAAATGCCACATCAGGTCGAGTGATCACGATGTACTGCAGAGCACCTACGATGCTTCTGTATCGTGCAGCATCTTCAAGTGGTGTTCCTTCCTTGGCTGACAGCTTTATGTTAGAAACCATAGGGGTGGGCAGACTTTTCACTTCACCAAAACCATGTTTCTGTAAAAGGTCTTGGATATACTTTTGTTGACTCAAAATAACATCACCACCTTCATAACTAACTTCCACTCATAGGAAAAAGTGCAATGGTCCAAGATCCTTCAACGAAAACTGAGCATTCAGTCTATCTATAACACTTTGAACAACCACCTCTTTATCCCCTGTTAAGATGATATCATCAACGTACACCGGTAAGTACACCAAGCTATCCGAGGTCTTTCGAACATAAAGAGAGGCATCCGACTTAGCTAGGCAAAAACCTTCAGATTGCAGGTATGCCTTCAGTCGCTCAAACCAGGCCCTCGGTGCTTGTTTCAGCCCATAAATTGCCTTGTGTAGCTTACACACCAGCTCACCACTGCCTTGCTCATACCCTGGCGGTTGAGACATATACACTTCTTCAGTGAGCAGCCCGTTCAAAAAAGCATTATTTGACATCAACCTGTCTCAGCTTCCACCCCCGTGACAATGCCAAGGAAATGATTACCCTGATCGTTGCAGGCTTAACCACCGGGCTGAAGACTTCATCAAAATCGATCCCTGGTTTTTGAAGAAAACATTTCGCCACCAAGCGTGCTTTGTACCTTGAAATCGAGCCATCAGCATTTCTCTTTACTCGAAAGATCCATTTACAGTTCACTGCCTTCCTATCTCTGGGAAGAGGAACTAGTGTCCACGTGTCATTCCTTACCAGGGCATCATACTCGGCTTGTGCAGCTTCTTTCCAATGAGGACTCATCAAGGCCTCTGTGATATTTGATGGTTCTCGATCTGAACCTGCAACGTTATAAACTTTTGGTTTCCAGATTCCATGCTTACTCCTAGTCATCATGGGATGAACATTGGAGACTGTTTTTGGTACACCACTCTCCACATTTTGTTGAACTTCAACGCACGGCTCTGTTGTACCATTTTCTTCTTGAACCTCTCGTGAACTGCCACGATAATTGCTATCATCGTGATTCTCTTCATGAATCCCATGTGCACGACAACTACTCCCAGAATTGCCATTATCGAGACTTTCTTGGATTCCATGTGAACAACCATTAAAAATACTCTCATTATTAATGTTTGACGCACCTTGATTACAATGTGAGCCGACACCACATTCAATATTCGGCATGGTCCCATCACCATATGCATTTGCCAACTCAAAAGGACTTGAATTATGTGCACCACGTGCATTTGCCAACTCAACAAATGAGCCACCATCATGCGCATTAATATTTAATTGAACTTTGCTCGCACTACATTCAATATTATCATGGGCATTTAATTGAACTTTGCTCGCGCTTCTTTCAACATTCGGCATGGTCCCATTGCTCGCACTATCGTCATTATCATGGGCGGCGGTCCCATAGCTTGAAATTTGCGCACCATTGTCTCGAAAAGTTGGGTTGCCACCACTATAACTTCCACTATTATCTCCATTATTTATGTTTGTCGCACCCCTATCTCCTTGGACCACATGTGCACCACGAGAATCTCCTTGGACCACATGCACACCATTGTTCGTTATAGGCACATTATCATTATTTAAAGTTGCTTCATAGTTTCCTTGGACCCCATGTGCATTGCCAACACAACCTCCATTAACTATATTAGGCGCATTACTCCTCCTTTTATATACAATTGCCACACGAGAATTGTCTTGGACCCCACGAGCACTTCCTTGGAGCCCATGCACATTTGAATTTGGCGCACCATGAGCATTACTATTTAACTCTTCAACGCATGTATTTCTTGAAGTCTCAACACGAGTGGGCACCACGCCAAGGGCACTATTACTTGGACTTTACGCACCATCATGCGCACCATGGTGAACGGTTATTAATTCAAGTGGTGTGGCCCCATGTTCATGCACAACACCTCGCATAGCTCCAAGCGGTGTGGTCCCATGAGCATTGTCTCGTATAGCTCCAAGTGGTATGGTCCCAAGGTTATCACTATGTGCAGAAGACGAGGTGGCTCCAACCCCATGCACATTATGATGATTTCCAAGCAGTGTGGCTCCACACTTATTATATAATATAGGCAATTGTCCAGTAGTGACAATTTCTTGTCTATGGCACATGCACACAAATTGATTCTTATCAAAAGGAAATACATGTTCGTCAAACCTCACATGTCGAGATACAAAAACTCTGCCATTATCGTCTAGACATTTGTACCCATGATGTGAAGTGCTGGGCCCGAGAAACACACACTGTCTTGATCGAAAATCCAATTTATGTTGATTAAACGGTCTCAGGAAGGGAAAGCAAGCACACCCAAACACTCTCATTCCAGAGTAGTCAGGAGCTTTCTGATAGAGAACCTCAAACGGGGTCTTGCCTGAAATGACCTCAGAAGGTAGTCTATTTATGATATACACTGCCATAGTAAAGGCATGACTCCAGAACTTTATCGGCAGTGATGCTTGAGCCAACATGGCTAGTCACATCTCAACAATGTGGCGATGTTTTCGTTCAGCCTTCCCATTCTGTTCTGACGTGCTGGGACAGGAGATTCGATGATGTACACCATTGGTAAAAAACCAACTCTTCAGGGCCTGATACTCACCTCCACCATCACTCTGCAATGCTTTGATTTTCTTCCCAAACTGAACCTCTGCTATCTTTACAAGATTAAGAAAACATTGGCTGACTTCAGATTTCTTTCTGATTAGATACACCCAGGTATGTCTGCTGAACACATCAACAAATGATACATAATATATGTAACCTTCAGTCGAAACTACAGGAGCAGGTCCCCACACATCAGACACAACCAGCTGAAAAATTTCTTTGTATTCAGTCAACGAATTACAAAAAGGTAGCTTGTGAGCCTTGCCTTGTAAACATGCAGAACAAATATTGTTCAATTTGTTTCACTACTAGAAACATTACACATTTTCATAACATTCTTGACAGTCTTCTCACAGGAGTGTCCTAAGCGCCTATGCCAAAGTTCCAGACTGTTTGAAGCCTTGGTCACATTATTCACCATGCAACAAGATTTCTTTTCTTCATACGGTAGCAGCTGGTATAAACCTTCATGTGTGAGCTTCCCTCTCAGCAGAATGTTATGAGTCTGTGCATCCTTCACCAAGCACTCAAAAGGGTGAAACTCAATAAACACATTGTTATCATGAGTGAATTGAGATACTGACAACAACTTCTTCTTAATGTGTGGGACATGTAGCATATTCTGTAACACCAGAGGTCTAAGACTAGAAGACAGAAAGCCTTAACCAACATGATCAATTTTAATTCCTTCACCATTTCCCATTAAAAGAGTGTTGTTACCTTTGTATGACATACCTGAATTGAAGGGTACAAGATCATTTGATACGTGATGAGTGGCACCAGTGTCTGGATACCACAGAGCATTGGAGTGGTTTGGAGCACTGTGAGCTGTTGCCATACTAGGCACAGTGGATACAAAAGTTGTAGGTGCAGTACGAACAAATGACTCTTATCCTTCTGTTTTTGCAGGAAGAGTTCCACAGTCACCAGGGAAGGTATTCATTACCTTGTCCCTTTCTCTTCTTTTGGTTGTACAACTATATTCGCAGTAATACCATCGCTTAAAAAACCTTTCTACCTAGCCTCACAATCCAGGAGCATTTCAGTGAGACTATCCAGTGACACTACATCACGAGATGCTATAGCAATAATTGACTCAAATTCCATTGACAACCCAGCAAGAATCACACTTACTTGTTCTTGTTCAGGTACAACACAACCTACAACATTCAACAAATCACAGATTGTCTTGATCTTGGCTAAATAATCACTTACAGTCAAGCCAGCTTTCCTCTGAGAGTGGAAGTTGTGTCTTAGAGAAGAAATCTTGGCACTAGAACGAACTCCAAACAATCTTGAAACTGCATTCCAGATTGTGCGAGAGGATGTGAGCCCCGTAAGATGTGGCAAAACCTCCATGCTAACCGTTGTCAACAACCACGAGGCAAGCAACTTGTCTTGTTGCCTATGCACAGGATACACTGGATTTTCCTCAAGCTGCCCAGACTCATTTGTAACAAACTGAGATGGAGCAGGATTATCACCAGAGATGTAAGCCATCAACCCATAGCATCAATTATAAGGGTCACCTGATGCTTCCAAAGAAGGTATGTTGACTCTGTAAGCTTTATGACATCTTGTTTGGGTATATGTTGCACACTGGACGAGACTGAAGAGCCATATGGCGTTGAGGTAACTGTGGTATTCACCGGAGACTGAACATCAGCTTGTTGCAAGTTCACCATTGTCAAAGAAGGGCAAGAACCTCCAAGAATCTCCAAGAAAAGAAGCAAACAGAAACTGCAGGACCATTTTGGCAACTGATACCATGTAAAGATTAAAAACAAATGTCTAATCTATGAAAAACAAGAAAGAAAGTAAATGAGAGAAATGAATCTTCTGAAATTCATTATATCATTCGTGTGTATTACAACTCTCAAGGGGAGTATTTATAGCTAGTACTATAGCTATAACCGATGATGTAACTAACTCAACAAACTAACTACTTCAAATGATCAGCTGCAGTGAATCAATCCTCAGCTGCACAACCATCATGCACAGTTCACGTGAACTTATATACCATCCATTTACATACACTAACACTTATATAGTAATATTTTAAAGGTTATCGCATAATGATTGTTGCAGTTAAAAATCGTTATGTAATATCACAGTATGCTAAAAGTTGCGTCATAACAAATTTTAAATTATTTTAAATATAAAATTATATAGATGAATTATTGTAATTTAATTCTTAAAATTGTATTATAAATATATATCATTAATAATATCGTAATAGTTATGTTTAAAATTAGTTACTTAAACTAGAATTAATTAAATTATTTATTAAGGTTATTTTAAAATTAAATTAAATTAAATTAAATTTAAATTAAATTTTTCTCATATATAAAAACACTGAATTATGCAAATCGTACACATACATTCGAATTCTACTGAAATATTTAATAGTCTATCGATATGTATGTGTACGATTTACACTTGAGAGAAGCGTCTATGCGAAAGAAATTATATATGCCTATCTCCTTTCTGGTAAAAATTAATTTATGGGATAAAGATCGGATAATTTAAAGTTTATTGTTTCTTGACACTTATATTTAATGCATATCTCAAAATATCCTTACTGAATATGTCACACGTGATCATAAGACAAGAAGAAATATTAATCTTTTCAAATTTCATAATCGGTGGATAAATGACTTTATGCCTATTGATAGTAATCATGTTGAACATGTATTTATATTTAAAAAAATTTATTTACTTGTATGTGGTTGACTATGCTTTTTACCTCACATGATTTTGAAGGTATATGTCCCTTTATATGATGAAATTGATCGTCATTGTTTTTTATTAGTTGTTGATGTTGTGGAGGGACATACATTTTTTGTGTACTCTCTTGGCATCAATGAAGTCCGTAAAAATATTGCAGAAAATATTGTAAGTTGTTTATGCAAACTGATAAAATACGTGTATTGTAACAGTTGCGTGAAGCTCCGCATATCTATAAGAGGCATGCTCATTTGGGTAGATTATTCGAAAATGTTTCAAAATTTTCAGTCCATTTTCTTGGATTATCGAAGCAGCCAAATTTGTACGTCATTTACATTTAAAATTAAAGTTACTATTTTTTGGACTATCTATTTCTTTGTAATAAATTATTTTATTTCATTTTGGATTTAGAGATGATTGTGGCATGTACATATTGAAGTATATAGAAGGCAATAACGAAACGATTGGTCAAAAATTAGTTTCACCGTAAAGTATATCATGTAGTTTTATTTAACTATTGTGTGATATTGAATGACATTATAAATTATTGTGTAGACGTAACATATGGGAGTTGAATGACTGAGAATTTTGGCAAAACTTGTTGCAAACAAACACAATGAAGTTGATATTTATGATTTGCGTAAGCTGTATGTACATGATTAACAAGTTATGGATTTCGATTTTTAATATAGTTTATTCAATGCTGAATAATGGAGAATAATGGTAGTGTATTAGATTTTTCAAAGCATGACACATTTTAGAATGATTATATGTCTTATGATATTTTTTGTTGATTCCAAAAGTGGAGCATTAAATTCTTCATAAGAATATGTGTTGATTCCATAAACTTTATTAACATTTAACAACTAAACTGAAAAACCTCAGAAGACCTAATAGAAGCTAAGTTGTACCGGTACACCAGAAGTATCGATAATGTCATATAATATTGTATAACGGGTTACATCCAATGTATTGATACCTTTAGTGTATCAATACCTTGAAGCTAAGGTGTATCGGTACACAAGAAGTATCGATATTAGCATATACCATTGTTTTACTAGTTACATCCAATGTATCTATACCTTTAGTGTATTGATACTATACTTCTATGCTGGATAAACTATTGAATTAACATCGATGATTCGTGGATTTTCAAGTTTGTACATCCATATCGATATCGTCTACATATCGTTACCCAAAATGTATAAGCGGCTTGCCATTTATGTTATCCTATACTAATTGAATTTTGGTTAATGTCATCATTTATGATATATAAAAAAATTATGAATGATGACTATTATCTAAGCATTAATATGGTGTTGTTCCTATTTCTTTTTTGGTCACTTTTTTTAGTCGAATAACACATGAAAATTTGTATCTAATTAAAATAAATTTTATTAATAAGAAATCTAATTTCAATCAAATTCAAGTTGAATCATATAAAGTTGAACAATTTTCAAAATAGTATTTCAAGGACCATAAATATTAAATATAAACAATAAATATTCCAATAGATCCAATCCAAAATATTCCAAAGTGGAATAGCCACAACAAAATAAAACTAAAAATAATCCAAAGTTCCAAAGTGGCATAGCCACAAAAAAATAAAAAAAGATCTAAAACAGTCCAAAACAAGCCATAAAATAAATCTAAACCTCCGGTGTATCGTTCTCGTTATTATCCTGAAAGAGTTAAACCGAATACTCCAAGATGTTAAGACGCTCCTCAACTGTATCAAAACGATGTATAATGCGACCCTCCATCTGAGTGATCATCTCTGAAAGTGATGTCAAATAGACTTCTCCTTGAGGTGTTGGAACATTTGGCATATTAGCTTCCCGAGCTACTGCAGGTGCTAGAGCTGCCTATGTATTTGTGGAAGAAAAAAAACCCTCATTGTTAACGATGTGGAAATGAGCCCTTCGAAGAGATGATTCATCAATTTTATTTCCTAGAGGGAAAGAAATATCCACTGCGCAATCTATGTTCTCCTTAATGAAGATATGACTTAGGTTATATCCACCACTCATTGACAATCCTAATGGTAGAATACTTGCCACCGGATGGTCGAAACCATCAAGTGATAAGCAAATGGAGAAATCAGTCATGGGCGTTCAGGCATCTAACAAAGTCGATAGGTGGAGATCCATGATTTTTTTTATTCTCATCGCAAGGACCAATGTTTTCTAGACCTAGATAGATGGGAATTATTTTATGTGTCTAGCATAAAGGTCTTGATAAGACTTTACAATAACACTATTACTAGGTTCATCAATAATACAATGAGCTTTGAAAAAAATATTCGGGTTAAAGTGAGGTAATATTGTGGAGTAAGATGAAGAAAGTATAAATTTCCAACGCCTCATAAGACCTAGGTAGGGGAATTTAAAATTGGGATCAAAAAAAAAATTCATAATCAACAACACACTCATCGCTAATAATAAATGATTGAAAAAAAAATCAAAGTTTGCTCTTTGGTTTATGTATTCGGGTTCTTTAAACATTCGTCAAAAGAACTTGATAAAATGAGTACGGGTTGAGGCTGAGGTTGAGGTTTGTTTATCGGTCAACTCGAAGACGGGTTGTTTGAACGACGACGTTTAGTCGTAAGTTTCGATTTTAGTGCCATTTTGAAATCAAATTCCTGCAAAAACAATATACATTGTACAAATAATCATCAATTTACAGTCCATTTTAGATTTTAAGTCTAGATGTATAAAACCAATATCTAAATATTAAATTCGATAAAATTAAAACAAAAAATTCAACCTAAACTCTAAACCATATAAACCTATAAAAAATTCATTCAAGAATCAAAAACCTATTAAAATAACATAGTGGACAAAATTAAATAAAAAAGGAAATAATACCTTGGGAAAATGACTAAGATGTGATGGGTATGCACGATTCGCTGTTTGGAGATTAAATCCCTTCAAAGCCTTGAAAAAATGGTGAAGGATTTTGATTTTTGAGTGAAAAATAGGTGGGTTTTTTAGAGGAACCGACATTGTTAGGGTTAGGGTTGATATATTTTGGGGGAAAATCGGATGAGGAGGTATTTATAGTTGAAATGACCATGCGTACTGGTACTGTAAAGACTGAGTATCGATACCCTATTAAAATGTACTGATATACCTTATGTATCAGTATCGGCATAACCTATTGGAATTGGTTATAGATTCACCGTATCGATACTAACATTGTATCGATACCTAAATTCTAAACTGGACAATGAGTTAAATTATATGGTACCGATACCAGAACAGTATCGATACATACGATGCTTCTTGATTTTTAGGCTTCCAACGAGTATCGATACTATAGATGTATCGAAACCACAATTTCATACTGGAATATGAATTGAATTTCATGGTACCAATACTTATATGGTATCCATACGTACTATGTTTTTTGGATTTTTAAGGCTTGCCACAGGTACTGATACCGTATATGTACCGATATCGTAATTAAACATTGGTCTTCGAATGTACAAGTTAAAAATTTAAATTTAATATCTTCTAGCTTGATTACCGAAGCAAAAATACAAACATAAAACACCATAAATTCAATTGCAAGTTGTCTTGAATATTCTTATGTTTATTAAACATCATAAATTGTAATTTCAAATATTAAAACCAACTTCATAAAATCTGGAATCTGAAATATTAAAACTTAAAAGAAATTATGCAATGTCACTGCATACATTTCTACATAATAACATAACTAAACTTTATCTCTCAGCGGACACAGAAAAGGACAACTGCAACCATTAT